GCCCTCTCTGCCAGCCCCCAGGCTGTGTGTGGAGGCAGCCGGGAGCCACGTTTGGGCTGTGCCCCGTGAGACACCCTGCAGCCACCAGCCCCAGCTGATGCAACACCCTGGGGTGGCATGACAGTGAGGATGCAGGTCAGCACCCTGCTCCTTTGGGGCCAGACCCTGGGGGCTACGCTGAGCTGGATCTGGACCGGCTTTGCCCCCTCCTGCCCTTCTGGCACCAGGGCAAGCTAGAGGGTTGCAGAGCATCCCTTGAGGTGGAGAGGGAACGATGCCCGAGTTGCTCCCCAATCCCTGCCCCAAGGCTGGACCAGCTCCCAGCTGCCTGCTGAGCTCCCCTCCATCCCCGTGCTGCCTACAGCTGTGGTATGGACTGGACCTGGACCATAACAAAGATGAGGAAGTGAATTTCTAGGAATACGTAACCTTCCTGAGGGCCCTGGCCACGATCTACAATGATGCACTGAAGGAATGCAAAATGTAGAGCTGGGCCAGCCAGTGGGGCAAGGGGACCCAGGGGCCTTTTCTAAGGACCTTTTGTAAAGTTTTTTGTAATTTCTTATTGTAAAGTTTTGTTGCTGTGTTTGTGGTAATTTTTGAACCTTGAATAAATTAAAACCTCATGGATGGCACTGTTTTTTCTCTTGCTGGGGGTGGACGGGAGGGACTCAGCAAGGGGCTGCACCCAGTGATCATGTCCCAGCAGATGGATCCTGTTGGGTGCTGGCGATGCTCTGCCTGTTCTTCTGCCTGGGCACTGCACCCTTGGCTTTGAAGGGCTGGTTTGCCAGGAGACTGGGTTTGAAGCTTATCCCCCTGCTCCCCCAAACAGAGAGTGTAGGGCTTATTCCACAAACCCCAGCTTCTGAGATCCAATGCTCACCTGAGCATCAATATTAGGAAGGAAAAAAAAAGTATCCACCCCTCCAGGCTCAGTGAAACACCTGAGAATGTGGCTGTACCGCACCTGCATCCCAGAGGCAGGTGAAAGGGACAACCCCTACAAGCCCTTGGTCCTTTTTATGCCTGATCTGTGAATATTTGAAGCTGGCATGATGCTGTTCACAGGCATCCCTGCCTGCCTGCATCCATCCACACCCCTGTCACTGCCCTACTGCCATGCCCTTGGGGCTGTACTGGTTCTGTCCCTGCGGCACCAACACTCCCAGCCCCGCAGCTGCACTTGGCTGCAGAGCAGATACCAACAACCCATGGCAGCTCTTGCACTGGAGCGTGGGCTGCCATGGCACAGCAGCCAGGCCCCAAGGCAGGGCATGTGCTGGGCGCATCTGGTGCGTGGGCACGTGGCTTCCGTGGCAGGTTGGGTAGCAAATGGCAGCATGAGGACCCACGGCGCATGCGTGTCTCCTCCCACCTCCCCATGTGGCACAGGCATTCATGCCTGCCCATGTGTGTCCCATCACGTCTTGCTGACAGTGCACTCGTGTCCCACTGATCAACCATGTGTGGCTCCCCTTCCTGGGGAGGACGTGCCCATCTCCCTCCATCATACAATCAGTTTCTTTGTTTCACTCTTTTGCAATTCAGGCTTTTTCTGGCACCAGTTCCTCATGCTCCTGGATTAAGAGGCTGATGGGGAGATGTTTCACCACCACTGTCCTTCCCATCTCCTAAAAGCCTTAATGGCTAGCATAGGCTTTTTGCTGTGCCAGTCCCACCAAGAACAGACTTGTGGTGAAGGGCTTGGGCGTTCTTGGGCACAAGCTCCTCACCAGCCCCCCCGACTGTCTTTCCCCCCAAGACATGCAGAGTTTAGCAGCCCGTGCCAGGCCATGGGAACACCATGGGGTCATCCATGTGGCAGCATACCCCCAACAACTGGGAATATGCAGCGATTGCCAAAGACCTCGGTTATCGTCAGGAAGCAATTACAGCTGCCGGGAAACACCACCTCCTAAGACTGGCAGGCAGGTTTCCGGCATGCTGGCATGCCCAGATTTGTAATGTCTTTCTTGGCTTCCTGGCTAGCCATTAAGAAATGATTCAGGAGGAATGCTGCTCATGATTTTGAAGAGGTGTCTGGGGGGTGAGATGCTTTGGCCATCCCCCAGCACCCATGCAGCACACCTCCAGTGAAATTCAACATCGTCAGGGCAGATACAGGACTGATGAACCACATGTACCATTGGGAAAAACCAGCATCATCCCACTGGAAACCGTCACCCAGCACCTTTCATGTGATCTTGAAAAATTCCTTTTCCATCATCTCTGCGAAGACCCCCAAATTCCGCATGAGTGTCCCAGCTCCTGGGAAAGCCCCTGCACCATCACTGACCTACAATGCTGGCTCCCTGCAAATGTCTCTTTTGGTGTTTCCTTGTTTTGCCCTAACGAGTTTGGTGTGTCCCCTCCCTCGTCAACAGTGGGAGCAGCCAGTTCCTGGAGTCAGGCAAGAAATCGCCACCTGGGCGTGCTGCGTAGCCTTGCACAATTCCCAGGGTTATTGCCCTGAAGGAAATTTGAGGCTGTCACAAATCTTAGCTCAGGGACAGTATAAAAGACACCTTGCCTCCACTGTGCTGTCACTGCTCCTCTCCTCCCGTGGACCGCCATCTGCAGAAGTCAGCCCCAGCACTGCTCATAGGTAAGTAGGTCCTTGCCGAACAGTGGTTTCAGGCCTCAGGCTGCTGGAAGTGCCATGGGGATGAGCCCGACCATGCCAGGCAGCCAAAGCCTGGCTGGGGCTCCCGGAGGAGAGGGCAGTCCTTCTCCTCTGATGGGGTTTAAATGTTTTGCTGCCTGTCCCTTCCTAGCAAGATGAAAACCGACCTGGAGCTCGCCTTGGAGTGTGCCATCAACATCTACCACCAGTATGCCATGAAGTGCCCCATAGATGACTACCTGAGCAAGGCTGAGTTCTCGAAGCTGCTGAAGGAGACCGCCAAACCCTTCCTCTACAACACTGTGCCGGTAAGAGCCGAGCATGGCCCAGCTCTCCTAATGCTGGTGAGAGCTTGCAGAAGGGGTGGCCTCCTTGGGGTGTGTGGGTGGTTGAGAGCCTCCCAAAGGGGAGGGAAAGCTTTTCTAGGATTTTCCTGAAACTGTGCAATCCTTGCTGGGTGAGCCTTGTGCTGTAGCTGCGGGCTTTCAGGGTGACCCTGAACCCTGCTGTGCTTCAGGCTGACTCTTTTTCATGTTTGTCCTGCTGCAGCCTAACACGTCCATCGATGACTATATAAGCAAGCTCTTTGCTAGAGCAGACCACAACCATGACGGACGCCTGAAGTTCACTGAGTTCCTGACCACGCTGAATCTCGTAGTCATTGATGCCCACAATAGGTCCCACCAGTGTCACAGCGGCCACGACCAGCATCCAGATGACAGTCACGGCCAGGACCACGGCCATAGTTCCCACAAGTGAAGCAGTTCCCAGGGTGACTGTGCCCACGGGATTGTGCTCTTCCAGCAGCATCATCCCTTCTGTTTGTCCGCAAACACAGACAAACCTGTAACCAAAGCTTTGCTGTCTGCTTCTGCCTATGGCATTGAAATAAAATTTTTTTCTTCAAGCACCAAATGCAGCTGTATTACGTGTCCTGTCGTCTCCAGGGAGGATGCAATATGCATCTAGCGTGTGGGGGGAGTTAAATGTCTATTGAACGGGAGAAGCAATGGGAAAGGAAAGGTGGCATGGGGGGACCCTGCTCCCTGCAGAGCAGGGATCCAGGACAACAAGGCTACTGGGTCGCAGCTGAGCAGCACAGGCTGTGCAGGCTCCCCGTCCTGAAGCATATCAGACCCTGGCACGCTCCCACTGCCTTCCCAAGGCTCAGTGGGTTCCCTGCACAGGGTGGTTGGCCCCAGCACCCTTCACCTCAGTGGATGGTGGGGTGTGTAGCACCTCATGACACTGGGGAGATTGCTGGGAAGGGGCAGCCAGTGGCTGCACAAGAGCGTCCTGAGCCCTGGTTCTCCTGGCCCGTCTTCGCACCAGCTCCAGGACATGCCAGGGTGAAGCACAGTTGGGGGCTGCTTCCCCAGGTGACTGCCAAGACCCTGCTCTGGACCTGGGGGTGCAGCATCCTGGGGGTACGTGCAATGCTTTTGCAACCCACAAAGCAACCAGCACTTATCTTGCAAGCCCTGACACAGCAAAGAATGAGGCTGAGGGGCTCTGGAGAGCTGGTGTTAACTCTGCACAATGAAGTTGGATGTTTTTGTTAGCGTGAGGCAACAGCACCCCAGGTCACAGCACATCTACAAGCCACTGCAGGCTCCTGGGGAGCAGATACATGAGCAGAAAAGAGCTCCTTTATCTGCCAGCAACTGCACTGAGTGGGAAACTCTCAGGTTCAGGAGGCTCTGACATTTCCAACATCAGCTGAAATCAGAAGCCTGTCACATGTGAAACCGAGCCACAAAAGGAAGCATGGGGCTATTGCATGGTTATTTGCAATTGATGACACAGGTGATCACTTTCTAGCTCCACAATGTTGCTACTGGTGAGGAGGCTTTGTCCCTCAGAGGCAGACTTTATTCACTGTCCTGCCAGGGCACCCAGGTTGT